GAGGAAAATGAGTTCTCTCTCTCTCTCTCTCTCTCTCTCTCTGGAAGTGAAGCCCAGGTTTGTGTCTTCAAGAAGTTTCCATCCTTTGGAGGAGGGGGGGAAAGCACGGACCCACGGCTCTTTGCCAGTGCACTCCAGCTGGGAAGGGAGTTGAGTCCAAATACAGCAGTTCCTTGCCCAGGGAGACCCCTCTTCAGCTCAGCCAAGGGCCTTCAGACACTTGGAGTTCCTATTGTCCATCTTCCTTCTTCCCCCGAAGGCTCCTCCTACACTGTCCCGGAGGAAGAACGTGCAAATGGCCACTGGTTTTAGGGCTTCCCCTGAGACCCTTGGGTGGCTTCTCACCTGGATCTCTCCTGTTTTTAGTTTAAGGCTGTTTTCTCTCTGGTCCTCAAGGAACCAGAACAGGTGTCTCCCTCCCACTGTGCATGGTTGACCCTTCCACACCCACCTATTGAAAGACGTTTGGGTACAGTTGCTAGTAGTTTTACAAGTACCACGAATGCTCTAAGGAACATTATTGCGCACGTGCCCCTGCACACGTGTCTCAGAGGAGCAGCACTGCTGGGTCAGGCACATTCTCCCTGCTCCCATAGCCTCTGGTGCAGGTTTGCACCAAAGCACACTCTATACTCATCTGGGCCCTCAGCAGGCAGGTCACCTTGCCAGGTCCTTGGGTGGCTTTTTTTGAACCAGAGGAGCAGTGTTTGGGAACCAGGGGAAGGAGTTAGCCGATAGTGCTGTTTGCCATCTTGCTATCCATTTCTCTGGCTTCTCAAGGACAGCCTGGCTCACAGAGTCCTGGAGGAACTTGGCTGAATGTGAGCTTGTTTTTGTTTTCTCCAACTGTCCGCCTCAACTGTCCGCCTTCGCCCTGACCCTCCCGTGGTCTTTGTGATTCCAGGAACGACCCTGGTGTTTATACAGCAGGCCTGGGGGAGTGCGTAGGCAGGGAGACTCTGCAGAGGCTGCGCTATTTCTGCTCACTCAGGAGACGGCGCCAGGAGGGTGTGCTCCAGGAATCCCCATGATGCCTGGCCAAGAAGGGCTCCTTAGCATGCATCCAAGCACACACGTGTGCCTGTTTATGAACCCATGGGTGGGTGGAATGAGCATACTTGACTGTGTCTTCGTAAAATGTGTATGTGGAGCCATGCCTCTGGAAAAGAAGAGGCATCTTTCTCCCACCACCAAGAAGTTCTTTAGGAAACTGAGGCAGGAGAGAGAATCACAGGAATGGGGCCCTGCAAAGCCAGAGTTTGATCTCAGTCTAGGCTTCTGTCTGAAATGCTGAGGCTGGAATCTAGGATGCCATTTTTACATAGCTCTTCAGTGGATTTCTGGTGAACAGCTGTGTTTGGGAACCAGTCAGCTCGCCGAGCTCCCTGAATTTGTAGATGAGCACACTGAAGCCCACACATCTTACATTCCTTGTTAGCATCACTCAGAGCCCGGGCTGGGTAACATCACAAACAGAGCCAGCGCGGTTCTTCCTACCATTCTAGACCCGTTGGCCAAGGCTTTGAGTTAGGATTATTATTCCCATTTTCAGACGTGAGAAGTTAGAGCTCAGGAAAGTTAAAGAGCCTGGCCAAAATGATGGTTGGGTCCTAAGTGGCAAAGTCCCCAAGGCTCTTGACTCCCAGAATTCTTTGCCTAGCTGGACTTGTTAATGAATTATCCACTTCCATGGATGTTAATAGAGAGGTTTTTCAGGAGGGAGATGACAGTATTTATTCATTTACCCAACATATATTAAGATTAAGTGTTGTGTTTTTTTTTTTTTTGAGAAATCATTAAAGAAGAATGGAAGTGGGAAGGCAGCCAGCATCCTCTTGGCCTGTGAGCCGGAATCCACTGGTGCAGGGCTATGACCTGTCAAAGGAGATAAACCCATTGGGGGGAACAGCAGATTCCTGGCAGCGTTAGATCATCTCTATGGTACCACCTGCTCTCAGATGTTCACGTAACCATGAGACAGTCTAAGGAGACAGTTGGAAGATGACTAGGTTTTTTCAGAAGAAAGACAAGAAAGGAGACACCTGTGTGAAGATGTGTGACGGTTCTCCTTTTCTTACCACACCTCACACTTGAAGCAGGAAGGACTAGGGTTGCTTGTAGCTCCTAAGGTCTCCCACAGATCTGGAGTTGCCGACTGTCCAATGGAGCGCTAAGGTCAGAGTGTTACCCTAGGGGAAAATGAGGTTTCTGGGTGTAAGGACCTGCTGGACACAGCTGCTCATTCGTTGAGGAAGGCTACCAGCACTGTGAAACCAGAGTCTGAAGTCCTCAAAGCTCTTTCTCCTGGAGCGTTAGCTCCCAGTTCCCTGCCTGGCTGGCTTAGTGAGGCTGGGTCAGGGGATGGTGTGCGGACCCCTGCCAATTGTGAAGCCCCTCTGATGACGCAGAGAGGTTGAGCATGCTCCTATACCCAGATGGCAGTCCTGGGTGTGCTGTCAGTAAGATGGGACAACTCGTCCATCTCTTCCCATTCCACCAACCTTTCTCATCTCCAGCTGTCCTCTCGGCACCTCGGGGAAAGGCGTGGCCACACACCTGAAGCAGGATGGGACCTCTCAGGCTCTGACAGCCCTCCCCAAATGCGACTGGGTTCTCTGCTCTGCCTCTCTGTCTCCCCCACTTCTCTCTGGAAAAGCTTGACCTTCTGCATCTAATCAGCATCCTCCCATTTTCTTGGGAGTCTGTGTAGAGAACAGCCAATGCTTACCAATCCTCAGGGGACAACCTCTGCACGGGCCATGGGGGGTCCCTCTCTGTCGTCTCCAAGCCCGAATCCTTTTCCAGTCGTATGATTCGGCTCACTAAGAACTTTTTCTTGGAGTGACCTTTGCACTGTAGCCCGCAGAGCTGCATACATAAGTGGTTACTTAATAAATATTATTCTGAATCTAACTCTCTTAGGCAGAAAAAAAATGCAACTTGGTATTTTTGTGTTGAAAGCACATTCCATCTCTAGCTGGAGTCCTGTGTCTGGAATGTTTTCTTAGGACGACTTCTGTCACCTGTGCGCGTGCATGGGAAGCGCTTGGTCATGGGTGGCCATGGCCTTGTCTGTGTGTGGGAGGCGGTGTGGGCCTCCCTCCCTCAGGGTGGCAGGGGTGGGGGGTGTGTGTGTGTGTGTGTGTGGTGGTGGTGGTGGTGGTGGAAGCAGCTCAGAGCTAGCCTCCAGCGCGCTGTAAATGCGTGCAGAATCTCTTGGATGCCTCTTGGCCACGCACTGGAGGTGGCTGCTGTTGTGTCTGCATTTTACTGACGAGGCACAGAGCGCGTAAGCAACTTCCCTGGGGCTGCATGGCCAAGTGGTGAGACAGGGACTCGGGCGATGAGACTTGGAAGTCTGAATTCTTGAACCTCTTTGGCTGGAGATAGGAACAGTCAAGGAAGGAGGCTCTCCCAGCCACAGTCCTTTCTGGTCTCCACCCAGTCAGTCCGTTTGTTCCCCTTCCCAAGGGTTTATTTCAGATGTGGAGTGTCAGCACGTGCGGCAGCAAACCAGGCCCGTGGATGTCCTTGTCCGATGGGCGTGTCCGTTGGCAGGGGTGAGAGCGGTACAGGGATGGAAGGAAGCAAGCCTCTGACTCCGGTGGCCTCCGCGCGGGCAGACAAGCTGGTCCTCACCGCAGAGGGTGCGGCATCTCGGGACAGCTCCGGGGAGAAGCGTGTTCCAGAGACCCCATGTTCTGTACCTGGACCAGAGCTTCCTTACTGACTCCAGTGGGCCGGACACACTTTTGCCTTTGGGGGCCCCTTCCTTAAGGTGACCAGACATCCCACTTTTGGCGGGACAGTCCCGATTTTTAACCATTTGCGGTGTTTTAAAAAAGTCCCAATTTTTGGAATTCTTTCCAAAAATTGGGATTTTTTTTTTTTTTTTTTTTAAACGCCAAGGGATGCGGGATAAATTGTTAAAAATCAGGACTGTCCTGCCAAAAGCCAGACATCTGGTCACCTTACCCTTCCTCCATAAGAAATACTCTAAAATCATATTTTATAACAGTGTCTTGTGACTGCAAACGTGTCCATATTATAGATGAGAAGATTTTCTTGGAACTAAATGCTTATTTTTCTTTCTGATTTTAAAAGACATTGAAACCCTCGCTAGACCGCTGGGCACTGTGCCTGCTATGCCCTATGAGTGAGCCGGCCCTGTCCGGAGGCGGCGTCACACACCGTGCTTCTCTTCATCCAACTTGTGTCCAGGCTCACACAGGGCCTGGCCTTGTCCTGAGTGCTGGCTTCTGAGGGCTTGGCCGAGGGATGCGTCTTTGGTCCCGTGGGTGGTTCGAGCACCGGAGCTGGGCACACAACAGGAGCTTTTTTCTGTGATGGATTGGCGCTTTGAGAAAGTCCAAAGAGACTTAATTGATGTTCCTCGGACACATGTCAGGATGTGATATAATACGATGAAACTTCAACGTCGAGCAGGTCATCGTTCCTGTTCTCGGGGCTTGTGGTGTCATGGGGAACAAATCGGGGTACAGGGGTATGACTGTAGCAGCCTCAGGGGACCCACAGGAGGGGCAAACAAGCAAATGAAGAGTCAACACGACAATGAAGGTGTTGGAAACTGTAGGTTTTGGCAGTGATGTTTCCACCTCCATGTTTTAAAATCTCACCCAATCCATGCCCTTTCAGACCATAAATGATGAATCCCTTAAATGGGGGGTTAGTGACCGGTGACTCTGGGAGGTCTTTCTCCTGGAGAGATGGACCCAGGAGGGACTCACACCCTTCCACAGGGATGGCCTGGTAGACCTAGTGATCCTTCTGGGCTCCACTTCCCGGGAAGGAGGCAGAGCAGAGCAGGCGCTGAGGGAGGCATAGGGCCCACCGAGGAGTCTCTGTGACGCGGAAATGGGTCATCCATGGAATCACTCAGCTCATTGCTTAGCTGTTAGTTCTCTGCGTCCTCCTTATTGTCAGGGCTCCAGACAGTCCCTGAGGGCCCATCTCTCTGGAACTTCTCTGCTTCTCCGCAGACTATAACTACCCTGGGTTTAGGGAAGCGACCATCGTGGGAGGTGGAGGCGGCGCCGGCCGGAAGGCCTTCAACCCGGGCATGAAGGAGATGGCTGTGCTGCGGGAGAAGGTCAACGACCAGCATCGCCAGATGGGCAAGGGTGGCAAGCACCCCCCCGGCCCAGAGGACTCCAAGAAGCTCCGGCCTTCGTCTCCCAGGGTCAGAGGGGTCGGGTCTCATTGGAGGGGTGGGGGGACATAGAGAGGGAGTCTCACGGTGGGGAGGGCAGCCCGATAAGATCTTAACGTCTGTGTTGCCAGCAGGCAAACAGAACCTTCCTTTTCTACCCTCTGTGACCTTGAGGGCCAACAGCAGATCAGCATCTCTTGGGAGGGGCCTCGGTGTTTGTGGCTGTGACATGGACAGGGCCTGTGGTTTCTCGAAACCCCTTCCTTCTGGAACTGCCACCTCTCTGGGTGGCTGTGGAACACGGGCAGGAGCAGGGGTGCCAGAGGTGGCGATGGAGCACCTGAGCTCGCTCGCTTGCTCGTGTTGCGATATGTGCTCCCCTCCCTCAGCTTCCCCTCCTCTCTCCAGCCCAGCTCTGCCATCTTGGATCTTGGCCCCTGATGGTTTATGGAAAGGAATGGAGCTTGGGTCATTCCTACTGGGCTGGAGTAGGGAGATCCAGAGGCAACCACCTGAATGCAGTGTTTGCAAGTAGATTCCATCCTGACCCCTGAGAGCCATTGGCGCAGAAGGAGGAGAGGCGTGAAGGCTCACAGCCATGCGGCTTTCTTCCAGGGGCAGATGGGCACAGATGGTAGTGAGCTTCCTGGGTCAGAATTCCCTCCTTTCACCAACTACCGCGTGGCTTTGGGGAAGTCCCTTCCCAGGCGTGAGCTTCTCTCTGGGGCCGCTCCCAGGGCCGTCTCTAAGCCCCCTCTGTGCCGCCCACAGACGCCGTGCCAGCAGGAACTGGACCAGGTGCTGGAGCGTATCTCCACCATGCGCCTCCCGGATGAGCGGGGTCCCCTGGAGCACCTCTACTCCCTGCACATCCCCAACTGCGACAAGAGCGGCCTGTACAACCTCAAACAGGTGAGAGGACCGCCCCGGGCCGCTGGGGGCCTCAGCCCTGCCCCACACACCCGAAACCCGCTGAGGTCTGAGAGCTGAGCACCTGAGAGCCAGGCTTCCTCCCACGGGGGCTGTGAGGATTCCAGGATCATACGTGTTAGATGTAAACTGTAACGAGCAGCCTATAGGTGATGACGTGGTGCGAGCATCATCACCTCACACTCTGATTCAGCTCCATCCTGGCCCCCCAGGCGGGACCTCCCTGCCCCCGGGGCAGAGTCCTTCCATCGTTGGGTGTCCCCAGCAGCCTTGCACGTCCAGTGCAGCCCCAGGGCCAGCAGCTCTAGTGTTAACTCTGCCCAAGGGGAGGCTCACCCCTGGCCCCCTGAACAGGCAGCTGCGTTTTAGCCCCCCCCTGGTGCAGTGAAGCAGAGACACACCACCCTGCAGCCCGGCTTGGGCACAGGCCGGAGCGACCTCATGGCAGCTGGCAGCCGCAGGCTGTCCTCCACCGTTTCCTTTCCTCTCTCTCCAGTGCAAGATGGCCGTGAACGGGCAGCGTGGGGAGTGCTGGTGCGTGGACCCCAACACCGGGAAGCTGCTGCAGGGATCCCCCACGGTCCGTGGGGACCCGGAGTGTCAGCGCTACTACAACGAGCGGATGCAGTAAACCGCAGCCAGCAGCGCCTGGCACCCCACGCCCCTCTCCGGACACGGGTGGAGAGGAGGATGCCTGGGTGGTGGGAGGGGGAGGGCTTCCTGGGAGTGTGACACATGTATTTATACCGGGAAAGAGACCCGCACCGAGCCTGGCACACTGCTGCCTGGCCCTCCTGACAGGAGAGGCTGCACCCACTTCTCAGATCCCTGCCGGGAGGGGTGCCTGCCGAGGCAGAGCTGGGGTCCAGGTTTGGGAGGGGGGAGAAGAAATCTTTATTTTTGAACCCCCGAGTCTCTTGCTTAAGAATAAAGGAAAGAAAAATAAACTGCGTGTCTTTCGCCTGAGTCTTTGGGGCCCCCAACTTCTAGGGAAGTGGGGAAGGCCCAGCCTGGGTTTCCCATATGAAACCGGAAGGAGGAGGAGGATGGGGCATGAGGAAGGCAGATCTCCCTCCCGTGGTCTCAGCCTGTGGGAACCAAGGTGTGGAGCCCTCACTTGTGACCCCAGGACCCAGTGTCTCTGCCTGGACCCCCAGCTGAGTCCCTGGCCCTCACCCCCATCCCGCCGTCCGCCCCCTCCCCCCGGCCCCACCACCCTGTGGGCACAGGGCGAGGGGAGGCAGAGCGGTCCTGTCTTCCCTCTCGCACATTCAGATGATTCTCCAAAGGGAGAAACACTGGAACTGGGGGCCTCTGGCCCCTCCACTGAGAGCTCCCTTTTGTGCGGGGAGATGTCCATCCCGCCCCGGGACAAGGGGCGGCTGCTGCGGGCCAGTGCATTCACGGACGCACAGCCTCCGAACCCAGCGCAGCTCTCTGAGGTTCTCTGTCACTGCACCCAGAACAGCACACAGTAAAGAAGACCGAGGCACAGACGTGCGCCCCCTTTATGAAGCAGAATCCCATACAGGCGCTCTACACACTTCGTTCTGTTGGGCTCAGCCCCTGGTGAATTGCCGGGGCTGCTGACGGCACCGGGCCATGGGGGAAGGCAGACACTGCCCAGGCCTCTCCTTCCCCCAGCACAGAGTGCAGAGCCCCCCTTCCCTGTGACCCCTCTTCTGGGTCAGGGTCTGAGTCCTTCCTGCCGCAGAGGATACCGGGGCCTCACCTGGGGGAGATGAGAAGGAAGCCAGGTCCCCCAGAGTGACACATCCCCGCTACCTCTGGGCTCTTAGCCAGTGGCTGGCCACCCCGGAAGTACATCCATTCAGTTAATCTTCTGAATCCACAAATGAGGTGCTATCACTAGCTCCGCTTTATGGGCGAGAAAAAGTTCCCTAGAGGTGCCCAAACTCCAGTCCCAGACTCGGAAGTCTCTGACTCCAGTGTGCAAGCTGCTCAGCCTGGAGTTATACCGCCCCCTGTGGGATAATTGGGGGGCCTGCAGTGCTTTGGGCCCCTGGCTGGATCTTGGGGTCTGGTTGGTTTTCTTTTATTCACTGCTGGGTGCTGGCCACCCCTCCGCTGTCCCCTCAGCTACAGCCAGCAGTTCCTGGCTGCTGTCTTGGGGTTGGACACCCCCTGTTGGCTCTCTGGAGAAGTGCAGCGTGTAACTTTGGCTAACATTTGGATGACTGAGGGTGCCTCACCTCAAAGATTCTGATCTGAGTGGTCTGATGTGAAGCCCAGGCAGCAGGTGTTTTATTATTATTATTTTTTTTAAAGGTTTCCTGAGTGGTTCTAATGCATAGCCGGGGGTGATGCAAGAAAAATGCTGGCGTCAGGAGGCCTGGGTTTGAATCCAGTCACATTGCTTCCCATGCCACTGCTCTGGAGCGACGCCACTTGCCTTCTCTGAGCCTGTCTCCTTCATCTCTCTCACGGGGACGGGTTCCACCTCGAGTACCAGGCTGGAGTCAAGGTGAGATGGCAGGTGCGATCGTGCTTTGAGAACGATAGAACTGTATGAACTGGGAGGGATATCATGGGATTACTGCTGGGGTCAGCCCTCGTGTCAGCCCTCATGCCCCATGGTTGCCGGCTTGCTTGGGTCATTTCTGGAACATTTTTGTGACATGCTCCTGAGGATGCCACCGTCTTCTGCCAAGTTCCAAGTCACTTGCCACAGTCTCCTTACTTGTGCTCTAAATCCTCTGCAGAGGTGGACTTGGAGCTGGGGGGCTAGGGTGGGGGGTGAGCAGCACCACTGTGGCTGTAGCTACCAGAACCACACTGATGTGTAAACGGCCCAGAAACCTTTGCAGAGGAAGGCACGTGGATGAAGGTGGTGGGCTGGGCAGGGATCTTGGAGATGCCAAGCTATTGCTCACTTTCCAGAACCAGCCTCCCTGTTAAAGTTTACAACCTGGCAGTGGAGAGGTAGTGGGGTTATACTGCCACCTTGTGGAAGAACAGGAAGCTGCAGTTGACTTTACAGGGCCTCCAAGTGTGCTTTGCTTAAGAGGGCGTCCCAGGAGTTCACTGGGAGTGCATGTGACACTTGGGGGATCAAAGAACTTATTCCAGAGCTGGAACCTTAGGAAGGGGCCCGACAATAAGCATTAAAACATGCCCCCTGGGCCATTCTAATTTGTAGAATCACCTGATTTTTGGGTGACCTGATTTGTAGGATTCAGGGTAAAAGAAAATACGGAGCACCTGCTTCAGGAATTGTTAAGAATGTCAAGGCAGCAGTGGCAGAGCACTAAGCCAAGCACTGGGCCCTGCGTGATGACATAGGTTACACGCCCACAGAGCAGGCCCCCCGCTTGTGCCTCTGAATTGGAGAATTACCCTGCCGTGACCACGTCTGCCAGGTATGTCTTGAATACTAGCTACACATGATGTGGTAGTTGAGAGCATGGGCGTGGAGGGAAGGCAGCCATTGAGCCGAATTTGAACGCTTCTACTTTATGGCTTATGTGACTGTGGACACCTTTCTGACCTCTGGACCTCATTTAGTTCATCTTTAAGTACGCTTACAGGATGCGTTCAATTTGGGCATGGTGAATTCAAGTTGCTTGGGGGGTTTTGGGTGGAGAAGACAGACACCCAGGACTTTCTCTCATCTTCATCTCAACATCCAATTCACGAACAAGTCCCATTGGTTCTAGCTTCAAGACATTTTCATATCCACCCTCATCTCGCCCCCTCCTCCATCACCTGTAGAGAGAGAAGGAATGGTTGATGGAGATGGAAGAGCAGCAGGTTGGGGGAGCAAAGGAAGGAAGCTGTCTTTGGAAACAGGGGGACTGATTGTGGGGGGAAGAACATCATGGCACTCTTGTGGCTCACTCTGTAGGATTTGAGATGGGAAGCTGAGGACTGTCTCGTAAGTCGTGTTGGTTTTCTCGGACAGGGAGAAGGCAGTATGGGGAGAAGTGAGCCAGTGTGCTTAGACCTGAGGGGAATGGAATGTGAAAGGGAGATAATCCAGGTAGGAATCCCTAATGGGTTCCCCAGCAGGATTGGGAGCTCACAGGATGGTGGGACTTTCTCCCTCAGGGCTCAGTGAGGCTGTGCAGGAGTGACGAGATTGGCTGGTGAGCTTTCTCAGGGCAGGCAAGACCCTTCCCCCCCACCCCCCAAGTCGGAGCTGTCAGTGGAACCACAGACTCCAGGGTCCTCAGAGAAGGAAGCAGAGCCAGATGGTCAGTGGATCAAACAAACAAACACACACAGACCAGAGTTTCCATTGTCTTTTAAGTAAAATGCTAACACTGCCTCCTTGCCCCCCACCACCCGTTCCTCTCACCCACCACCCATTCCTCTCACCGCAATAGTAGAGTATGATTGGAATAGAAGGGTGGGCTTTTTCAGATTTTCCATGTGGAACACTTTAGGTGTCGAGGCTCAGAGTGTGCTTTCAGTGGATGGAGGGGAGACCTGGTAGAATTGAGGAGTGAAATAGAACCATGTTTCTAGAAATGTTCTATTGTAGACACGAGACTCCAGTCCAGTCCTACTGGATCATAGGACCCAGGTGGATGTGTGATTACCAATGTGCTGTGTGGGTTGTCCAGGGTAGGGGTGGGAGAAGAGGTGGCAGCTGGGAGCCAGAACTCTAGGAATTCCTAGATAAGGGTGTAAGGGGAGGGAAGTGGCAGGTTGAGGTGGAGTAGGGGTGGGGGGAGGGCACGGAAACAGCAATTAAAGAAGAGCCTGCCCACGCCCCCTTCAGGCAGAATGTGGGTGACAGCAGGGTGAGCAGCTCCTGGTGGTCCTGTGGGGTGACCCCGTCCAGCATGGCCTTCCTGTACCTTTTCTCCCTGTCCCCACCATGGGTCAGCACCCACGCAAAGGAAAGTGGGCCAGGCACCCGCCCCTCTCTGCCTCCCAGCCCAGCTTTCACACTCTCAGCTTTGCCTTCCCTGTTGGGCCTTGGCTGAAGCCTGCACGCTTGCAAAGCTGTGTGGGGGTGGAGAGGCCTCAGGGACACAGCGACCCTTGGGAAGGAGTGGGCCCAATGACCAGTAACACCCTGGTCAGGCAGGGGTGCTCCCTGTTAGTTCACTTGACATGCGATTCGCAAGGGGCAAGGCACAGGGTTCGGGTGGGGCAGAGTGGAGATGCCATGGACGAGGAGATTCCTGTAGGGGGTGGTCAGGGACACCCATAGATGTGTGCTGCTTTGGGCTCCACAAAGTCACCTCTAACTGCCCTTCCCTGCAGGCTTGGTCCCTCCCCCCAACTGCCTTCCCCTGCTGGCCATCTTGTGGTAGCCATCTTGTGTCCACATGGGGGCAGCCATCTTGTGTGTTGGAGTGATGGTCAATCTGCATATTACTCTCTGACTAGACAGGATAGAGGTCCTACAGAGGGTGATCAGAGACACCCACAGAAGTGTGCTGTTATGGGCTCCACAAAGGAAGAGGGGACCGGGGCTGGGAGAAGAGCCGGGAGGAGAGGGGTCTAGGGGGAACCGCAGCAGGGTGCCTGTGGCAGCAGGACAGGTGGAAACGATGCTCGTTAAGCCCCTGAGAGACTGAAATCAGTCACCAGCCATTTCATAGCTTCTCTCTCCACTGGGCAGAAACAGCAATGGGCTGGGGAGGAGCGGGAGGTGGGATTTGCCTTGGACAGAAGTTCCCAGGAGTAAGTGACTGAGGAACGTTCTAGAAATGCCTTCCTTAAAATCCTCTCCAAAGAGAAGAGATTCATCATTTGCTTACGGATAGACTAAGGCCACTTTATTTAATAGCAGGGGCTGAGATAAAATGATAAGAATGCTATAGTAATAACAGTAGCTGAACATGCGTTGATATTTGGTATGCATGAACTCATTGAGACAGATTTGGAGGGATGGAGAAGAGAGCCCCCGAGTTCCGGATGGGACTGAGGTCCCCTGGGTCCTGCCTCTGCCTGGTCGTTTGTCCTTCCCTCTGGATGTGGCCCGAGGAGAGTCCTGGGACCCGGAGGAAGCTGACGCAGGCTAACTGAATGCATCACTTTATTAAATAAGTGCTTCGTCACGTCAAACGACAGAGATCAGGAGTAACATAAGTTTTAAGATGAATAAATAGCATACAGCAATCTTCACCTTTTTAAGAAAACGTGAGATCCTCTATTGCGGTTTTTTTTTTTCCTCGTTTTTATTTCCTTAAGTACAAAATGCTAAACAGGAGGTGAGTTCTTCCACATTCAGGCAAATTATTTTTCCTGCATTTTATTTTTTTCACCATGAACTGGTTTTGTTCGTTGGTTTGTTTATCCATCCTTTTCACCAGTAAAGATTATGAGCATTTGTTTTCTTTAAAAAAAGTTGAAGACAAAAAATAGAAGAAAATAGAGCTATGGTATGTATGTATGTATGTTTGTATATGTATGTATGTATGTAAAACTATTGAGAACTACAGTAATATGTGTTGTGGTTACTGCTGACTAAAAGAAAAAACCAAAAAACCAAAAACCAAAAACACAAACTGGTAGGCAACTCGGAATCTGAAGGATCTTGTCTGACAACTGTCTATCCGTGTGGGCTACTGTGTGACGGTGCTGATGGCGGCAGGTGGGACTCAGGCTGGTGTCCGGGGACCAGAGGAGTGGGGGGAATTCGCCCTCCCAACCCCCTTCCCCATTCAGAAGGAGCTGGAGAGAGGAGGCCAGAGACTGTGGAGATGGCTAAGCCATGTACTCCGCTAGGAAACCAAGGAAGCATGTTTCAAAAAAGACACAAAAACCTACGAGAAAAATGAAGTGGAGAAAAGTGCAAAATACGCCTTGCACTTTAGTGGTTTCAAAAAATAAAGACAGTACAACGCCCAGGTTGCTGGCAGGTCAACCCTGTTCCCTCAGTCCCACCACTTCTTAAAACGTAACCTCCTTTCTCTGGGAAGCCACAAAAGTCCTCTCTGAGAGCAGAGGGTCCTGTCTCTCCTTGGCCCCCTCCTCTCTGAGCCCCCATGCTGAGCTGGAACCCTCTGGGAGCGGAGCCCATGGGCAGGGAGACCATTGCCTCCTCCTGAGGGGGCCTGGTGGTTGCCATGGCAGCTGGGTGGCTGCTGGAGAAGGGAGCTTATGGTGTCCATGGCCCACCTCTCCCAGACCCCAGAGGAGGCTGCCCCTTGTAGGGGTACAGTGGAGAACACCGAAGTGGTGATGGGGACATGGGCGAGGGGAGAGGTTGTGGGACTCCACAGCTCTGGGCCTCCCTTCCTCCCTGGGTAAGGGTTGAAGTCTCCGGGCCTGTCCAGGCCTGGCTGTCTGAGAAACTTCCTCCCCAGATGCCCTTTGATGCGAGGGTGGGGAGGGCTCTGGGGGAAGGAGGATCAGTCCTGGCTAGGTCTCCCTCCATTGGGACATCACGTATGGTCTACACTGCTGGAGTGAGGCATGAGTCAAAAGGGAGCTGGGATGAGACCTCCCTGATGGGGAAGGTCAACACTTAGACTTGAGGCCATTGAGAAGCTGGAGCTTCAGGCCGCGAGGAGAGCACTCACAGGCCCAGGCAGCCTGGGGTCAAGGAGAAGCCTGCAGCTGGCAGAGCTCCACATCTGCCTTCCCTCCCACCTGCCGGGGGACAGCTCCATTGTCCCCAGTGACTCTCTCCCGTGGTCTCTCCATACTGGGAGAGGCTAAATTTCATCCCTCAAGAAGGTCCAGGGTCCTCTAGGGATTGGCCAGCTGACCAGGATCACTCCCTGCAAACCCTGGGGATGCACAGTTGTGTCGTCGTCATGAGCGTTGGAGACCTGAAGAGACTGGTGGAGTTGAGCCAGGCCATCGTCCCCACCGTGGGCGACAGCAAAGAGCTCATGTCAGGAGCCCATTCAAAGTCCAGGAGACAGTGGTGGGGGGTGGGGCAGGGGGAGAGCCCCTCTCAGGAACCAGGTCCAGGCCTAGGGAGGGGTGGGAGTAGGGCATGCAGTTCCTGGCTCAGTCTTTTCTTAGGGGGAATGGCAGCCCAGTGTCCACTTGGCAGAACCCAGTTAGATGACTGCTCAAATCCAAAGGAAGGATGGGCAGGAAGAAGAGGGAGGCGGGGAAGGTTCAGGATACTGGCCTACAGCATAGAAATGTGAGTCGGGGTTTGGGGACAGTGGCACAGGGAGATGGGGTACACTGACACAGCAGATCAAGTAAGTCCTTGCAACTGCCATTCCCGTCAGGCCCTTTGTTCTTTGAAGATCGACCATCTCTCCCACCTCCAGCCAACTGTCCTGTCCCAGGGAGCAGGAGACATCCCCCACGATGCACAGCTGCAAGTTCTCCGCCAGCTGGACTGGATTGGCTTCTTTGCTGTCCCTCTTCATTGCCCTACACTCGGTGTTGGTGTGTCTCCACGGTATGGTGCCATCAGGGAAGCGTGGAGAGGGCTGTGCTCACAGTGAGAAAGGGTGTCCTTGCCATTGTCCAAGCTCCTTTCCTGGCAGGCTAGCTCCAGCCGCAGGGGACAGCCCCCAGACCGCCCATTTGTTGAGGAAGTCGGCGGAGAATGGGAGTGTCCTTGGTTCTGAATGTGGCTGCCACGTGACAGCACTCCAAGCACCCATTCCCTGGTTGTCGGCCTTTCTTCCATCCTAACCCCAGGGAGGAAGCCGAACTGGCCAGCGTGAATGAAAACTCTCTGGTCTCAGTCCCCCACTGCTGGGTGAAGATGGGCATCTGAACACAAAGTCTTGTCCCTTCAAGACATGGCCACCCTCTACTGCCCCTTGCTGTGGTCTAGATGCTAAGTCTAGAACCCTAAGTTGCCCACCTTTCCTGGCTCTAGGGCTGAGTTAGTTCATTTTTCATTTGTAACCTATACCCCATCTTCCTCTTTAATCCCAGAGGGCTTATTGGGGGGTGAGCCAGCGGAGTTTCTCTGGCTTTGTCTCCTTTTCGGTTGCTTTGCTTCCAAGCTAGAAAGGGGCCGTCAGCCCCTTTCCCTTCACTCCATCTATCTGGCCTGAACAGTCACTTTACTAACTGCCCTGTATTGAAACTTGTTCGCCTCCACATCCCTCTTTGCCCTCTCTCATTGCCATCTCTCTCCTGCTTCGCCATCGTGAAGAGGGAGAGAGGCTTTCAAAACGCAGGCTCTGCCCAGATGAAATGGAAAGGCCCGGTGGGACCAGTAGGTCAAACTTGGGCCTGTTGGGCTCGCTCAGTGTGCAGTTGGAGACGATTACTTCTGGAGGGTCTGAGGAGCCCACACAGAGGGCTCTCATCCACCTGGCTGGGTGGTACATGTGAAGACATGTGCACGTGGGAAATCATGAAAAAAAAAAAAATCCAACACTGTGTCCCACAAAAAGTTGAGTTTGCTGCTCATGGGAGGCAGGCAAGACTGGTGTTATGGGTCATGTTAGAAGAATATGAGTTGTCTTGGTTTGCCCAGAATGAGGAAACTCCTCAATGCCCCCATAGAAACTACTTGAAAAGTTAATAATACAAATTTTTGAAAGAAAGGAAGGAAGGAAAGAAAAAAAAAAACAAGAAAAAAAGTAGATTTATATGTCTATATATGACTACATGGAGCCTTGTAGATAAATACAAGCTCACTTTTTTTTTTCAGCCTATCCTCCCCCACAGAGGCTGTGCTAGTTGTGAATCAAATGCATGGAAGGGCTGAAACCTCATGCTTCAGCTCGGAGTTCTGGTCAACTGGGAGGAACAAGTCTTCCCACTGTTGAGTGTGTATTAATTTCCAAAAGTTTGCACAGGGAAATGTGCACACATATGTAATATTTATGTATCTGCTTAGGAAAATTTATCTATCTAATATCACTCAGCTTTTAATTTGTTTTGTTTTGAGGGAAGTGGAATGCACTTTAGCTTTTATAAATTTGTGGGGGAGAGAACACCTAGTGGGGCAAGCAGAGGAAGGAGAGTTCGAGCTGCCCACATTGCTGGCTGCAGGAGGAGCTAGACCCAGGAGAGGCGCTGACACCTTTTGTCTTTGCCTTGCTCCCTCTGTGACTCATCCAGCCTGGGAAAACTCCAAGTATGTCACCAAATACTACATCTTGGGCCAAAACTCTAGCACCCAAACATCTCCCCAGCTCAGGCCAGGGCTGCAAATGAGAGGTGGGGCCCGCCGTGAGGCCTGGGATCTTTCCTTCCTGCCCACTTTCTCCCTTCCTTTCCTCACTCTGTTCCTCTTCCTCTCCCTTGTACACAAGTGCCTTCTTCCCTTCTCTGCCTCTTGTTCTTCCTCTCTTCCCTATTCATTCAACTTGCCTCAAAAAGAAAACCATTTAAAATGGGGGAACGGAGGGAGAGGAAATCTCCTTAACTTTTTTCATCTCCATTGTTGCCATTTCCAAAGTTGAGACCTTGCTAGAGATTCTGAGGCCCTCAGGTTCCTCAATTAGATAGATATATGCATGTTTTCCTCTTACATGAGATGAAGTGAGTGGCGTCCTGGGGTGGAGGGAGGCATTGGCTGGAGTTGGGGCTGGGGGTGGGACGGGGTGGGGGAGGAGGAGGAGGGGGCGCATCACTCAACGTTGCTGCTGTCGAAGGAGTGGCACTGGAAGTCCCCCTCAACATACTCCATGCTCGGCAGCTTCATCCCGTACTTGTCCACGCACCAGCAGATGCCGCGTTTGCGGCCACGGGAAGGCTTGCACTGGGGGCGCGGACAGGGAAAGGCGGTGAGGATGGCTGTGCCTGCAGGAGGCTGCACCCTCGCCCGGCCCTTCGTCTTCCCGCCCCAAGACAGACGTTCACCCCCAGAGAGTTGAGAGGGGCTGTACCCCTGCCCGGGGAGGGTCTGGGGAAATGATAGGTTAGGGCTCCTGGAACATTCTGGAGCCTGACCTTGGCTACCCCCTATTAACACATTTTATGTGACCCTTTCGGGATCCTCCAACTTGGTATTCTCCAGAGAGCTACATCTGATACTGATGATCTGATGCTGCTGCTGCTGATGATAATTAATAATAATGATAATGTTAATAGGTATCATTAAATCCTGCAGGTTTTTACCATGTACCAGCACTGCTATTTAACGCTTACTACATAGTAGGTACTGTTGTAAGTGCTTTACGGAGATTAGTCCGTTATTCCTCATCATCGTGTGAAAACAATAAGCACAACTATTCTCCACTTACGTGAGGAACCAGAGGCAGAGATTTAAAAAAAAAAAAAAAAAAAAAAAACTAGAGTAAGAGGACACAGTGAGTGAGTGGGAGAGCCACGAACGGGCCCAAGGCTGCCTGGCCCTGATCCCTCACTTAGATGAGGGGACGCTTAGAGCGTCAGTGTCACATGGGAGGGAACTTGTTAGAAAAGCAAAGTTCTCAGAGTCTCTCCAGAGCCACCGTTCAAACACTGGGGAGGGGGGGTCCCTCATTAGTGTTTTGTCAAACCTGCCTGGTGACGTGGATGCCCAAGGAAGGCTGAACACCATTGCCTTAAGGGAACTCGGATCCAATGTAATACCCTAAGCACCACCAGTTAGCCACCAGCAAGGCAGCTCAAAGGGTAGCCTGGCTGTGATTTCAGGTGGTACCTGGTGAAAATATGCTTTAAAGTTACATATATGCATATATCTGTGTGTGTGTATCAGGAAATAACATACGACATGGGATGAGACCCAGTGACGTCAAGTTTTCTTTTAAATTTCATATAGCCCTGGCTGGGCAGCTCGGTTGGATGGAGCATCATCCCAGGGTTTGATCCCCAGTCAGGGCACAATATAAGAATCAACCAGTGGATGCATAAGTAAGTGAAACAATACAGCAATGTCTCTCTCTGTCTCTCTCTGTCTCTCTGTCTCTCTCTCTCTCTCTCTCTCTCTCTCTCTCTCTCTCTCTCCCTCCCTCTCTCTCTCTCCCCTCCTAAAAAATCCATGTAAATAAGATGGATGGTTAAACGTTAAGTAGATTGTAGCACAGGCAGGAATGGGAAAATCACATTTGTGTTATGGATATTTCAGGTTTGAAAAAGACTATTGTTAAAGACATACATTTTAGGCATTTCAAGGTAGAGGTTCCTGGTGAGTGTTCCAGGAGCCCTTTGACTTGGGGGCATGGGACGGGGCATACCTGCTTTCTCTTGTAGAATCCCTTGCGGTCACAGTTGGGCAGGTACACGGCACGGGGCACCATCCGAGGGCTGGCTTTAAGCTCCTGCAGGGAAGCCTCCATGTGCCTGCGGCAGGGGCCCTGTGTGCGGAGAGGAGGGATAAGAGGCATGGCAGGACCAGGTGGAAACCACCCCCATGGGCAGAACACGTGGCCTGGGAGCGGGGGTTGGGGGTAGATGGGGGAGACAAAGGTTCTGTGGGGAAAGCCACCAGTTTTTGTTCCCATTGGCTGCTACCAGCGACCTTTCCTCTGCCCACTTGCTATGCACTGGGTGTACAAAGTGTGCAAAACCTGCATTTGACCGGGCACAGGGGCACCCTGTCCCATCTGTTCCCTGCTCTGAGTGGTTATGTCCGGAGGTGGTCCTCTGTATATGCTCTAGGAGGACAGAACCCCTGGCTGTTCACCCTCCTGGCACTTGCCCTGTGCTCGCTGTGGCCCACTGGCGCCTTCCCTGTGTCCTGCCTCTATGCCTGCTCTCTCAGACAAACCCTGGGTCCTGATCAATGTAAGCTCTAAAAGCTCTCTATTGTAAGTGGCAGGTCCTTCACCAGGTCTAACATCTCCTGTTGCCACGAACGCAAGTCAGGGCTGCGGGGCATGGACACCCGGATACCATGGGGGATCCTTGAGACTCGCCTGTTCGGATTCCTGTCTCATCTCGGGGGCAGCATTGGCCCGGGTCTGAGCGGTGTTCTCGGCTCCCCCCACAAACTTGGCCTGGCTCAGCTTCTTTCTGCGGTCCTTCTTCACGGCCTCGGCCTTCAGCTCGGAGATGCGGGAGTGTTTGGAATTGGGACGGAAGTGCTTGGTGGGGTAGGTCTCCTCAGCCCCCTCAGCGGTGGTTGGGTCCTCGTGCTCCTGGGATTCCCGATCTGCAGGGAGAAGGAGGCAGGGGGTCAGCCCCTGGGGCCCAGGTACGTCTGTCTGCAGAGCCCAAGACTCTGAAGCTGGTTCAAAGAGAAGGGGGTCTCTGCCCTCCTGGAGCCTAAATGAGAACCAGGGCGTAAGAGTCAGCACTCATGTACGGGGAGGGGGGTTGCTGGCAGGACTGGAGTCCCATAACGTGAATCCAGGAAGATTTCATGGAGTTGGGGTGGGAAGAGGGCAGGGTGTTGAAAAAGTCAAGCTGATAAGCGAGGGACGTTTGACAGGAGGGAGAGGACATTCTGGGGGCAGCAAAGAGGAAGGAGGGGGGACGTGGCCTCTGGGAGGGCTCAGGCCCGGTCAGGGGCTTGCTTATGGGGCCAAGTAGATGGTGCCGTGGCTAGAGGTGTGGCTTTGATGTTAGAGCACAGTCCGGAGATCTTGGCTGTCGGAGGAAATAGGGGGCAACCAGGACAAGAAAGGCCATGTGTAACTTCCCATGGGGTCTTTATGCTTTCAGAGCTGCTGGACTTGAGCTGCTTGGATTTGGGGAACTGGGGGCAGGAGAGTCCTGGGGGCCTGGACTATCAGGAGAAGAGGACCTGGGAAGTTAGGCTTGGAGGGGAATAGTGGAGGGGAGCGGGGTGGGTGGGTGGGGTGAGAGGGGACACAGACCCTGAAGCCTCCCTCCCTGCACTGGCTCAGAGCTGGCTCTGTGCTCTGGGCCCTGGATGGAATGGAACATAACATAGCTCCAGGCCAAGAGCGGCCAACAGCTGGCTGGGCTGGCACAGTTATATATAGGGGTGACTCGGTGACAGTCTATACTTAGCTGACTTATGACCTTTAAAGACATAGGACTTTGTTCATTTATTTGTTGACCTGTTCATTTCTCCCCCGGCCTGCCCCCAGCCTTTCCTCGGTCCACAGATTTCCATTTAATTCCGATCTTACAGGGACCCTCCTCTGGGTCCCCGGTTCTCCTCTCAGTTCCTCAGCCCCACCAGCCCATGCAGACCAGGGGAAGGGGGAGGATGTGGCCAGGAGGCCCGGTACAGGGGGGCCCTATTGTTATTGCCCTCTTTTCAAATTAAAAAAAAGAACACAGGGCTTTGAGGTGACCCTAAATGACTCCACTGGGGTGTAGGAAAATCCTATCACCAACCCATTTAAGGGCAAGGCACTGTGATGGAAAATAGGAGAGGAATCCGAGGAGGTGGGATGAGGGGAGGTGTTGGGGGAGAGAAAGGCACTGTGTGTGTTCCCCGGGCGGGAGCTCTCAGCTGGAGGAAGTTACAGGTATGTGTGAGGAAAGGTGTGTCAGGCTGGCAGGTGGCCAGAAGCACCTAGGCACCTGCTGGCAGTTGGCTCAGATTTGTCACATTTAATCTGATAGGTATTCTGTCCTAAAGGCCCTGGCAGGGCATTGCCCCCCTGGAAGAAGCCCCCAGGTTTTCAGGGCTCGGGCGGTTAGTTGATTTGGGCTACTGCCCAGGAGAGGAAGAGGAAGGGCAGAAAGCAAACAACAAAGCCAAAACTGGTGTGGCTCAGTGGATAGAGCATCCGTCTGCAGATTGAGAGGTCCCAGGTTCGATTCCTGTCAAGGGCATGTACTTTGGTTGCAGGCACATCCCCAGTGGGGAGTGTGCAGGAGGCAGCTGATCGATGTTTCTAACTCTCTGTCCCTCTCTTTTCCTCTCTGTAAAAAATCAACTATATATATATATAGCAAACAACAAAGTCAGGGGCAGACTCTCCCTGAACCAAATTCAACACCAGGATCTCTGACCCCTACTTTTGACCTTTCAGTCCAACTTCCCACATCGCCTTGACTCAGTGCTCAGAGTCTACTGTATCCAAACCTGCTGTGATGATTCATCAACACACGATGCGCAGGGTTGGTGGAATGCAGCCTTCCAGGAATTAGCTGATAGAGTGGTGCTCTGGGGCAAGCCTACTTTTCCTGGCTGTGGGAAGAGCTAGAAAGGGGGCGGGATGCAGGGAGGAGCACTGGTGGTTTGAAGGACTCTGTACAAAGAGAAAGGCCAGGGCTCTCTGATCTAGTAACTGAGGCCCATGCCGGGGGCTCTGGTCTTAGGGAAAGGTGGGGTTGGGGTGGGGGAAGAGGAAAAGCCTACTACGGCATGGATAGGTCTCTGAGCCAGTCTTACTGAGGGACCAGAGACACTTCCTTCAACCTCTCTGGGCAAAACTAAGCATTCTAATCTTCAAAACACATTTGACTATTGGGGTTGGGGAGAGGGCAAGAGATGTTGCCACTGAAAGGCTGGGGGCATTCTGGGGTGCGTGGTCATACCCCTTCTCCAATTAAGATTGTAACTAGAGGAAGCGAGGGGAGGAGGGAGAAGGGGCTGGGTGTTGAAAATGGGAGGGAGATGAGCGTTTCCTTCAGGGGCTGCCCCAGCCTGGCCTGGAGCACCAGCCAATCAGAGGTATGTGTGGGATACCTGCAAAGCCAAGCTCAGGGGCCGCCTCTCCAATGGGAGAGACCCCAGCAAGCTGCTCACCTCCAGGGCTTTGGACCAGCCCTGGGATCCTCCCCACAGGCCATCTAGTCTCAGTCTTTTCTCTGAAAGTGTTCCCATTGCCTTGGGCTAAGCAATGATGAGGCTGGAAAACCAACTGTAGATTCCTGCATCCACTTGAGGGAGCTCAAAACACATTTGCAAACCCTCTCCGCTTCCTTCCGCGGGCCTCCCCAGGGCAGGCCTCCCGGGAGCACACCCTCCCCAGGATGCGGGCTCTTTTGCTGCTCTGAAAGGCAGGCTTAGAGCTTTGATGGGCTCCTGGCTTTAGGTGCCACTTAACCCCCCTGTGACCTGTTACTTTGGCACCGAGGGAGTTGAGTTTCACAGATATTCATCAAGGTCTTGTGGTCACCTGTAGGCTCCAGAGAGACAGTGGAAAGTTGGGGCAGAGCCAGGACAGCACCAGGGAGATGAAAGGGCTGGAGCGCAGACCCAGAGCTGGAATGCCAGAGCCAGCAGGCCCCGCTCAGCTGCTTTGAGTCATAAATAGGCTTTTGATTTGGGCAGGGTTTAAATCTGAGATAAAGCAGGAAGGCACCAGTAGGCTGGCAGCTTCTGCGCTATTTCATCAAGAGAAAACAGACTGAGGTTGAGGAAGGGATGTAGATGAGATATAAGGAGGACTTCTGGTGAGGTGACCCTGTGCCTGAACAACAGGGAACAGAGGAGGGCATTGGGTTCTGGAACCCGCTGGACAAACATGTCAATACCTCCACATGGCCAGTAGGTGGCGACAAAGACAAGACCACACAGCATGCCTGGGTGCTCATTGCTAGGGACTGTAAATAATTTTTAAAATCTGGAATTTGTGTGCCTGTTTTTCTGACAACCACCAAACCCTCTCCTTCTCTGTGTGTGTCTGCAGCACGTATTTAAAGAGTTAGGGAGATGGACAAGCGAGGACTGGAAAAGACTCATAGGGGGAGAGTGGAGAAGGCAGGTGTGGGAACTGGAACAGGAGCAGGGCAAGACTCTATGTGCATAACCCTCAGCTATTTCTTTCATCTGCAATTGACAAACGACCAGGGGAAGAAGTGAAATGTATCTGGCACCTCCCTTTCCATCTTTTGATGTCATTTCCAAAGGACTCTGCAGAGGATGGGAGGTGTGAAATGCTCAGTATTATTTCCTTCTCTCTTAGTTCCATGATCTTGCCGATGACAGAGCGAATGAGAGCTATCATACTGCCCTGATATTTACCTTTGGGGTGGGTTGCCAACCAAACAGCTCTCTGATAGCCCAACCCCTGCCATGTGATGCCCATCCACACCGGGGCAGTAACATTCACCGAGGCACAGATGGGTACATGGGCCCTCCCTGTGCTCATGTGAACACTTGTTTGAGGACAACACTGTCCTCATGTCCCAGCAAATGCAGACGGCGTCTGGGTGCAGGCCTGGCCGCTATGTCCCCAGAGGCACCCTAGGATGGGCAGATCTACTCACAGCACAGATGCCCAAAGCACAGTCCCCATCCAGGCTCCACCACCATCTCCAATATGCCCTCTTGCTGCCACTGTTATCTGGTAGGGACAGGATGCTCAAGCAGCAATGACAGGCATGTGTTTTTAAGAAATGTTTCCATACCACCTGCTCCCTGGTTACAAAGATGGATGTTACCGCTGGGAACCTGCTGCTCCTGCAATCTGACCTCCCACCCGGGGGCTCTCAGCCCCTCCCTGGCATCATTCACAGCCTGTTCCCAGGCTGGCGCTAGTTCCCATTCATCTTAACCTCAGACTCTATCTTCGGAGGAACCTGGGTGGCCCAGACCTGGGACTTTGTGTGGGAAACGGAAGAAACTGAGGCGGACTTGGAATTCTCGGCTCAGGGGGAATGCAGGGCTTTGCCAGGCTGCCTGGACCGGAGGGAGGAAAGTCTCTCTCCCCAGCCAGAGACGAGATGGGTTTGCCCGGAAACTCTCTGCGAGGCCTGGAAAGGGAGCCGGGTTTCCACGGGCTCTCCTCCTGGCTCCCTCGGTGGAATTTAAACACTAACCTCCGGGCAGAGGCTTGTCATTTCTCTTCGTCTCCTCGGCGAATGGTAGTCCATAAATAATCTTTAAGTGGAGAGATGCATCCATCGACGCCAGAGACAAAGGGAAGTGGGCCAGGAGGCCTTTCTCCTGTAGGCTGGGGTACCTTAGAGCTCAGTGGGTGCCCTGTGCGGCCATCTCACTGGGGCCACTGGCTTTAAGCACAGTGACTGCCACAGAGGGAGTGGGGGAGCAGAGCAATGAGCCTCACAGGACAGGGTCAGACGGAGGGGTCCCCTGGATTGGCGGGGCTTCTCTCTGGTCTCAGGCTTCACTGTCCAATCCAGTAGCCACTAGTCACACGTGGCTATTTAAATGGATAAATAGGAAACCAAACTACAAAGGTAGCTCTTTCGTTGCTCTAGCCACATTTCAAGTACTCAATAGCCTCACCTGTCATTGCAGGAAATTCTACTGGACGGCTG